AGGTAGCAATTTTTGGTTTAGTATAACGGGGCTTCCAATTAATTTTACTGTTATAGAATTTTGGACGTGACCACGACCGTTTAGCGGATCTTGCTGCCTTTTGTGGTCATATTTCTGCGCAAATACCGGCGCTAGCGGATGAATGGGTTAGTGAAGAATTGATGTATTGCGCTTTATTTTTTCAGTTTATTGGATTCTTGCAGAAGCTTCTTTTTGTTTCAGGTCGCAGCAATCAAGGCGTTATGTTGTTCAAGTGGAAGCCAGTATACGGGTTATGGTGAGCTGCTGGCTCACATTGATGTAAGTTTTTTCGTATTTGTATTATTTTGTTACTTCGAGTAATGGCATTATTTTGATCACCTTGGTCGAAATTGCCAGTGAGTGCGGTGAAGAACCCTGATGGAGTTTCCTTTCTACGCCCATCGGGAGACTTCGAATGGTGCCTTTGAGACTGAACCGGGCTGACTGCGTACTTCAAGCCATTTCATGCAGCTGTTTAGGTGTTATCCAGCTTGGGGTTACCAATGCTATATAAGGCTGCGTTCATACTTTGAGGCACCGTACACCAGCGACCAATAGCGCACACCAGCGTTCCGAGCGTTCGGCAGCGTCAGCGACTAAGAAAGTATAGATACTTTCTGCTACCCTCCTATTTCCCATACTCCACCAGCTGTGTGCTACCCTCCTATCGCCCATACTCTCCACTCCCGGATGCTGGTGGTCGCTGGTAGACGCTGGATAGACGCTAGATCGATATCTATACTTTCCTATCTAGTCGCAGATGCTGCCGGACTCTCAGAATGCTGGCATTGGTCGCTGATGGACGCTGCCACAAAGTATGAACGCAGCCTTATAGACTATTTTTAGTTTTCTTATCACCATCACGAAAAGTTATGACTTTATGAATGAACGGAAACTAAAGTACTTGGGAAGGCCGCGTAAGAACTCATCGAATAAATTTTGAAGTTTTATATTATGATAACTGCTGTTCTACGCCGCACTTCGCGCTCCGAAAGTTATCACAGAATGCTGAGTTATGGGCAAAAGTCGAACCCCAGGTGGGAGTCGAACCCGCACCGGGCGAATGCGCTATCCGTTAGTCATCGAATAAAGTTTCATTGATTGAATTGATCATTGTTTTGATGTGAGTTATCAAAATTGCAATGAAATCAAATAATCTATATTCTATATTTAGATAAATGACTGCTCGACTCATTATCCATTGGCAACCTTTGTGCTGCTACTGGCTGGTAAATATGCCTTCAGTGTACCGCGACTAATAGCCGAACTACTGAACAACGCATTCCCAGTGGTTATGAAGAGAGAACAAAGTTCATTCGTGTCAGGGCGCTATAACGGTGAGGGATGCGCTACTGATTCACCATGCATACAGTTTTTTTTTCTTTTCTTTATTTTCTTGAAGTTTCTTTCTAGTTATGGGAAGAAGCGAGTACGATTGCGAACCTGGTGCTTGCCTCACCCTCCTCATTCTAGCACAGATCAGTTGTGCTACTGATGAGCCATATCACTGTGAGTTTCGGCATTCTTGTGCTTTTTTTATTTTCTGTTCCACACTTGCTATTTTTAGTGTCGGAGCATTACGTGGGAACAAGTCCGAAAGTGAAGTTGCTTCCGAAATGTGCAGACGAGCACATGCTGTCAATGATTCACTGGTTTGTCATTCCTTTCAATTTTACCCGTTAACTTTTTCTTTCGACTCTCATACGCGCGCTTTCCCTCCTGTAATTACGTTCTGTCAGTTGGCTGACAAAGTTTACTCCAAGGCACATTCTGCGATAATTACGGTAATTACTTTACTGGATGCGCGCGCTCTTTCGAAGGACGCGCCAACAAATATGAGGGGTTCTCTAGGGACGAAAGACCATGGTCGCGGGTCTTCGCACACCCGATTTAACAGTTCTGTTCGCTGCGGATAATGGGGCGTGTCAGCACAGCTGCGTTTGGTACGTCGCCAGCCCGTTCTCTACCTGTTGCTGGCGAAGGTAAGTGACAGCAGCTGGTGGAAAACGACGGGTACAAACCATATAAATAAAATAAATGTGATACGGTCTTGTTGCATGCCAAAAAAATAAAGAAAAAGGGGTTGGCGCCGCCCAACCGCGCTGACACGCCCCATCCGCAGCGAGCGAAACTATACGGAATCTGTATGCAGGCCAGGGTTCAGCGCATTTATACCAGACAACGATTGGTGCACTGGCAGAAGTCACTGAAATCACCACCACAGTGGTAGTGATCTATAAACGAAGTATTTTCCGGTAACCATAACCTACTTTAGACTCTCGCTTCCCCGAAGTCGTGCTCACCATTACAACTCCCCCTCCCCTCCCCCCCCCAGTGAATATGAAGCAAAATAGTAAAATAAGTATTGTCCGCTCATTTATTTCCCTTTACATTTTTTATTTATAACCAAACAGTATGTGAACCCAGAAATTCATGAGGAATTTCAAATGTCATGCTTCCTTGCTCTAGGTGTGAGATGGATAGCGTGCTCTTCCCGATGTTGAGCAACATTTGTATCCTAATGGACACTTTGCGAGGGCGGTTCAAGGACTTAGAGTGAGTGTTTCTTGCTTGGTTCGCTTACCCTCATCAATATTTTAATCGAAAAGTTGTTTCTGTTTAGTTTCGAACCAAGTCGAATCATTGATTCTACCAATTATCGTAGAGAATACCTTATGATAATGCTGAAGGCAACGCAGTCAATTATTTGTGAAGAAGACTGGGTAACGCTGAAGATGTTCCGCATTGTGGAGACCAACCGAATGGAAGCGTTCAATCACGATCGGTTAAAGCAGAACTGTCTAGTAAATCGTTTTTGGAACTTTTGGACTTTCGTAATTTTTTTCGGGTTTGCTTTACTCTTAACTCGCCGGTATGCAAGATAGCAGTTGCTTTGTTACTTTCTGGACTTGTTTTTCTTTCCTCACTCGCCGGTAAACAAGATAGCAGTTGCTTTTGTGAATTTTTGTTTACTTTTTCCTAATACGCCAGTAAACAAGATATCAGTCCTTCTTTCCTACATTTTTTTCCAAACTTTGCTTTCAGGGTCAACAATTGCTGCGATTAGGTATCCGTCGACGAAGTGAGCGTGAAGTTTTACGTGAACTATCTGTTT